CTAATGCAGTGGCTGCCTCACGGGTTGATGGAAAGCGGTTTATTACGTGTGCAAAGGTGTAGATTAAACAAGACAGATGAGGAAATAACAATATGTATGACTTGAATTACAAGCCCATGCTAAATAACAAAGGGCCCAGGAGACAGTGCTCTAACCCCCTCCCATTGTAGCCATAGCCCGGACCTTTGTTCAAACCCTGGCTTAGGAATGTGAAGCAATCTTACAGTGTTTAAAGTCCGGATCCTGATTAACGTGTAAGTTAGTGGTTCTATACATAGAAATACATAGAGACCCCAAGTTAATTGTCGAACTGTTTGCTCATCCTGAATGTCTTGGTGGCCCTTGAACCATCCTATAGGTATCTGTTAATCATCAATGTGTGACTGCCGAGTACGTGACTGCTGACCACCAGCTCAAGTCAGCAGACCTTTGTCCCCTGCCTGCAATCTTAAAATGTTACCCCCCCTTTTCACCCCCCTATAATAAGGACCTCAGCCCCTGAGCTGGCGCCTCTCTGAGCTACTTGGTTCTGAGAGTGCTGTCAGGTCAGACTAATAAAGGTCTATTTACCATCTAGCCTGGAGTGTTCCTTCCTGGGCTTCTCGTTCCTCCAATGAGCTCCCGGAGCCTCATTGGGCTATAGGACCCAGCATCGTGGAGGCCTTTTCAGCTGTTCACTCTCCATGGAGTGTAAGTGAAACTTTGAGTCTTACAAATAGGTCCAGAAATTAAATTCGATGAATATTGATGAGTTATTAATGTCATTCAGAATGGGTTTTGCCTGGATAAGAAGCAGATAGATCACTGGCTTCAGAGTCGGATCCACATGGGATCAAATTCTAATTCCATATGTGGCTTTGGACAAGTTAATCTCTTTTAGAACCTTAACTTCCTCAACCATAAAACAAAGTGACATTGCGGAGTGGTAAGGAGGACTAGATAAGTTAACGTGAAGCACTTGGCCCATGGTTAGTACTAAATTATATTTCCCTCCCTTCGAGTCACACTTCTCTAACGGCTATCGAAGGAGGCACTTTTCAATAATTTTAAGAATGACAACAGGAAGGCAATTTTATTGTAAAAGAAACAACAGCCTCTTGCCACGTGTTATGGTTTGTATCTAGATGTTCCCCCAAGAGCCTGATGCACTCATACGCATGTGGAAGGCGATTCATGATGGTGGCTTATAGCAGACTTGCTCTTTGGAGGTCTGACTGAAAGAGGTGGGTCCCAAGGGGCGTGGCCTAGGAGGGTTTAATCCCCGCCTCCAGCTCCTGCCTTCATGCTCAGGCTTCTCCTCCGCCGTGCTCTGAGCAGCTCTCATCTATCATGCTCCTCTGCCATTTTGTCCTGCCTTAAAGCCAGGTGACTATGGACAGAGACCTCCACAAACTGTGAGCCAGTTTAAGTTGTGGGTATCTGGTATTGTGTCCCTGGAGGGCACACAGTGACTAAGATACATGCCGTGCCCAGACAGGTAAGAAAAACTATTTAAAATAATAAAACAAAGGAGATTAGTGAAACAAAATGATATATTTTTGACAGGGCCATTGTGCCATTGAGTAATGTGATTTTTGGCTACTGGAAACACCTTTTTCAATCAATTTTGGGGAAATTTTGCCAAAAAGCAGAAAGACATTAAGTAAAATTAGAAAGTATTTTTGATTCTTAGAGAAAGCTCCATTAATATAGGGTATACTTGCCAGGAAAAGTGAGTGTAGGTTTAGAATATGGATAATGACCAAAGGAGATCCAGGTTGGACTTAGGAAAGTAATTTAAACTTAGATCATTTTGCTTGGAAGGTTTACAATTTCTACCATCAACTGATGGTGCTCTGTGAAAAGGTCAAGTGTCTTGGAGAATGGATGATCCAGGTGTAGACATCGTTTTGTTACTTTGTCAGAATAAAAAGGTCACACACAGCCATTCGTTAGGATTCTAAGCATCATTAAATTTTTCTCAGGAATGTTGCCTTTCCATAAGAGTGGCTTCAGGAATAATAATTCTGAAATCAACTCTCTTGAAGTTGTTTAATTATAGGCAGAGGTATAAGTGACAATGGCAATTAATTTCATGGTAGAGACAGAATCAGACTTTAAAACAAAGATACATTTAATGAGGATTTAAGAACTGTTATTCCTTTCTTTAGAGTTACTGAGGCTTCTTGGCAACTTTTGCTGTGTCAGTGTTAGTAATAACATATGGAGAAATTATCAAGTTCTATCCATTAGGCAAATGTGATTTATCCTTTAGTTTCTCACCAAATGTCCTGGTGGTTTTCACAAAGGGAGATAAATTAGATGATTAATGGTACAGTTTGTTTTGTATTACCAACAAGCAGAGTAACTGGCTTGAGAGCTTGTTTGCAAAAGATTTTTGAAGAGGCCTTCCATCTTCTGAGAATGAGCTATCTGGAGCATGGATGACAGTGCTAACACATCTCTTTTGTTTTGGAAAATTGAAGACAGTTTTTAAAAATCCAGAATACAAAGAAAAAACAGTTTATAGAAAAAGCATCAAGGAGAAAGAAAAGCTGGTAGATTTAAAAGTTAGGGATTAAAAACATTAATATTTGCACCTCTTTCTTTTAAATATATTGTCCATTAGCTTTTAAAATGTAAAAGTGAGGACAATAGGTTAATTTAATTTTTGTTTTACAGCATTGTTTAAATACCTGAAGCTTTTTCAAGATAATAATAAGGGCATCTTCATCTGAATCTGAAAAACACCTGCACCCATTCATTCCTTTAAAGGGGATAATTTATGGTGATTCACTTTCTTTCCTTGTATTTGAAACCAGTTTTTTGTCAACTGAAGTTCTGAGCCATTGATGAAGCTGGGATAGGATAGAAGGAAAAAACCCCACAGTTGGTGGCTTTAGGAAATCTGCAAAGGCTTTTCCTTTACTTTGCTTGTATTTGCTATCCTCTTGAGTCCTACACTGTTGAACATGATGTAGTTTGATTTGAGTAACACCAAAAATTCCAGCTACTAAATTCTCAAGCTGGGTGTGGTGGCACACGCCTATAATCCCAGCACTTGCGGGGCTGAGGCAGGAGGATCGCTGTGAGTTCGAGATCAGCCTGGGCTACATAGTGAGTTCCAGGTCAGTCTCAACTACATAGTGAGACCCTGTCTCAACCCCTCCCCGCAAAATCTCAAAACAATCATTTTATAACCAACATGTGATATTTGAACTTTTATTCTTCAAAAGAGTATATGTGTATGTATATACAAATTTATTTTGCTCTCTGTTGAAAATCAAATGGAGGCAAGTTATGGAAAAGTTAAAAAAGTACATTCTAAAGAAAATTTATGTCTAAGAGGATACAATTAAACTACCATAAGGAAAGTAGAATGTTCTAAACTTAATAGTACATTATATTTCAGAGTATTTTAAAAGATAAAGTGTGAATGCTCATTAATAAAAATAAGTAGCTTAAGAATCAATTCCCAATTGATAGAAGTTATTCTACATTGCTTCTATTGTAGCCAGCAATGATCTAGTTATCTATGTAGCTAGCTAGCTTACTATCTAGCTTACATGAAAAGATATCTGGTGCATTTATGTACGCAGGCACTCACAGAGCACCCAAATAAAAGATAAATTCTTAGAAATGGAATTAATAATTCAAGTGGCTTATAACTTTATATAGATATTGTCAAATAGCCACCTAAATGGACATAAACATTTATACAATAGCGTATGCGTCTGACTCCCTCATATTACTAAACTTTTTAGTTTTTGCCATTGTAATAGGTAAGGAATAGCATCTTGGAATTTTTATTAATATTTAGTCAATTGTAAGGAAGATTAGACTAATATTTTCATATTGGACATCTGTGTTTCTTGGAAATTGTCAGCTCATCTCTTCATCTACCCTTTAAAAAATTAAGCCTAGCTTTAATAGTTCTTTGTTGTGACTTTTAGCTAGCTTTCAGGGTGGCTTCTTTAACTTTTGACCTTTATTTACTTTTATATTTTTCATGGTAGTATTTCTCCATCTTCCCCCAGAACCTTGAGACCTGGAAAATGACACAGAGGTTACAACATTTCAAAGGCATTAAAAGGGGAGACTTTCTGGGAATGTCAAAGGATGCAACTCCTGTGGAGAAACATTTAGTAGCTTCTCAAAAAGTTAAATGCAGAATTGCCACAAGATCCAGTGGCTCCGGTCCTGGCCACTGACCACAAGAAATTGAAAGCAGAGATTCAGAGTGGCACTCGCCTGCCACTGTTCTTAGCAACATCATTCACAGTAGCCACAAGTGGAAACAACTGAGTGCATACCAACAGGTGAATGAATAAACAAAATATAGTCTATCTATACACGGAATAGTTTTCAAGAATTGGGTGATTAAAAAAAGAATTAAGATGTATTTTGCACATATATAACTTCCCACAGGAATGTAAATATTACATGCTACACACATGTACTAATAAACTAAAATTTAGAAAGACAAAAAGGAATGAGATTCTGACACAGCTACAGTATAGGTGTATGCTAAACAAAAAAGCAAATATTGCACAATTCTTCTCAGATGAGACACCTAGATTCAAATTCATAGCCATAGAAAGTAGAATGGTCATTGCCGAAGGCTGGAGGGAGGTATGGAGAGTTCTGGTTTAATGAGTATAGAATTTCTGTTTGGAATGATGAAAATGTGCCGAGACAGATAACAGCTGCACAACATGGGGAATGTACCCCCTGCCACTGAACTCTACACGTAAAAATAGCTAAAATGATACAGTTCAACTATGTATATTTTGCCACCATTAATAATAGTGGTCTGACTTGCCTGGGGTGAGAAAGAGGTGGAATTTATCTAAAGAATGGACTCTTATCTGAGGGTCTGGCCACTTTTCCCAGGTAAGTTTTTTTTTGTTTTGTTTTGTTTTTTTGAGACAGGGTCTCACTGTGTAGTTGAGACTGACCTGGAA